TTCAGGATGTATAGTAGAAAAAACTTTTATAGTATTGAATGCTTTATTAATTACTCTTCCTGGTATGCTGTTGTCTTTACTTGAGATTAAAAATTAAAGCATTTGATTAATACGCTATAAGATGGTGAGGAGGAAGCAGTTAAACAGTATGTTTTTGAGGTACCTAAGTAGCTTAGTCTGTTGAGCAGCTGACTCTTGATTTTGGCTCAGATCACAATTCCAGGGTCCTGGGATCGAGCCCCATGTCAGGCTCTGTGCCAAGCATGGAGCCAGCTTAAGATTCTCTCTCTCCCTCTCTCTCCCTCTCTCTCCCTCTCTCTCCCTCTCTCTCCCTCTCTCTCCCTCTCTCTCCCTCTCTCTCCCTCTCTCTCCCTCCCTCTCCCTCTCTCCCTTTCCCACTCTCCCTTTCCCTCTCTCCCTTTCCCTCTCTCCCTCTCCCTCTCTCCCTCTCCCTCTGCCCCTCTTCCCTGCTCTCTAAAAATTAAAAAAAAATTTAAGTACTTTTGTATTATCTTTAACTGTTTTTCCCCCCACTGTGGGAGGGTAGAACATAATGACTCGTCATCTGTATATTCTGGATAGTTTAAGAAATATTCTGTTCAAAATATTAATCTTGACTGTTACCAAGGTTTTCAACTATTTTGAGACATCTAATAGTAATTTTTAGTTCCAAAATTTAATGTGAAAATTAATTGGAAAAAGAATAGACTATCTCTTAATACGGTCTAAAGTAGGATTTTTGAACAAATATACAGAAAAACCGCCTTACTTTCTTCTTTTGTTGTTTTCTTTCTTATTTTTTCTTACAGTTTTATTGCATTTCACACTCCTGTATTTTTAATGGTCTAGATTTAAGATGGAAGTCAGGAATATATATTTTAAACATAAACAGTCTAATGTCTAATAAACATTTGCTAAGTGATGTCAGGCACTTTTTCTGGAGTCGCTGTACCACTTTATACACCCACCAGTAACATATGAAAGGTCCGGTTGTTCTACATTCTCACCCAAATCAAATATTATTAGGCTTTTTAATTTTAGCCAGTCTGGAGGGTGTAGAGTGGTACCTTACTGTGGTTTTAATTAGCTTTTACTGAGGAGTAAGAGTGTTGAGTACCTTTACATTGGCTTATTAGTCATCTGGATGTTGTCTTCTGAGAATTGCCTACCTGAGCCTTCTGCCTTTTCTATTGGGTTGTATCTTTTTCTTACTGATTTGAAGGAGTTCTTATGTAATTTGGATATGAGTAGTTTGTCAAATGTATGTATTCCAAGTATCTCATTGGGCTTTTCACTTTTAATAGTGTTTTATTGTGAATAGAATTTCTCAATTTTAATGAAGACCAATTATTAATTTTCTTAAAGTACTTCTTATGCTTTTTGGAAGAAATTTTCTTAGACTGCATTTTGAAAAATGCTGAGACAAGAACCATTTTCTGGTTGACAAGAACTATTTCCTGGTTGACAGGGAAAATAAAAGGTTTCTTTCTGAGTAATCCTCTAACATCTCTCGTATTGTCAGCAGTTCTGCCTCCTCTAGGAATCCCCCTGTTCATCTCTTCTCATCGTATTAAATTTGAGGGCTCTGAATTTTGTGTTCCTAACGTTAAGCACATAGTTGTCTTTCTACTGCAGGAAAGGCAGTGGGCTGTAGCTCACGTTTTTCAATGACTTAAAGGGGCAGTATTTCCCATTTTTCAACAGAAGTATCCTAGCCACGGAGGTGAGTGAGCACAAAACCCCAGGGGTATCTCGCGTCCTGACCAGACCTGAAGTAGGGACGTGTGAATTGAAAGCAAGGGACGTCTTTGAACTCTTCTGTGTGCACCGTTTTATTTTTTTATTTTTTTTTCCTTAGATAGTTTATTGTCAAGTTAGTTTCCTTGTAACACCTGGTGCTCATCCCCACAAGTGCCCTCCTCCATCCCATCACCCTCCTTCCTCTCTGCCCCACCCCCATCAGCCCTCAGTTTGTTCTCAGCATTCAAGAGTCTCTCATGGTTTGGTTCCCTCCCACTCCCCAGCTTTTTTTTCCCTTCTCCCCCATGGTTCTCCGTTAAGCTCCTCCTAATCCTCCTATACGTGCAAACATATGGTGTTTGTCCTTCTCTGCCTGACTTATTTCGCTCAGCATAACACCCTCGAGTTCCATCCATGTTTCTACACATGGCCAGATTTCATTCTTTCTCATTGCCATGCAGTATTCCATTGTATAGATAAACTACATCTTCTTGATCCATTCGTCCGTTGATGGGCACTTGGGCTCTTTCCATGTTTTGGCTATTTTGGAGAGTGCTGCTATAAACATTGGGGTACATGTGCCCCTATGCATCAGCACTCCTGTATCCCTTGGGTAAATTCCTAGCAGTGCTATTGCTGGGTCATATGTGTGCACTTTTTTAGGAATATAGTTTAGAAATACAGCTTTCATTTAAAAGTAGCATTTAATTGATTCTACCTTTCACTCCAAAATTTAGAGTGAAATTGAGGGAGGCTGCAGGAGGCTGTACCATGTTTATTCAGCAGCTTTGAAGTCCCTCAGGTAGCCCTGGGCTTAAGGTTTTTATATATTGCCTTCACTGATCTGTTTGCTTTACCAGTCCAGTGTGGTTAAGAGACTTGCACAGTAATTACTGGCAGAGGCAGAACAGTACCTCAGGTCTCATTGCTCTGCATCCCATACTATCTGGTCAACAGAGTACTAAGGTGAAATCATGGGATTATACCTTAAAACAACAGAAAAGAGCTGAATGAATAAATAAATACACAGTGTGAGAAAATGAAAAAGTGTGTTTTTAGTGGACCAAGAATTTTCAGTAATTTCTGGAAGAGAAAAGCAGTTAGATATCCTTATTTTATTTTATATTTTAAATTTTATTTAAATCCAAGTTAGTTAACATATAGTGTAATAATGATTTCAGGAGAAGGATTGTGATTTGTCACTTACGCATAAGGCTCAGTGCTCATCCCAAGTGCCCTCTTTAGTACCTATCATCCATTTAGCCCATCAACCCACTCCCCTCCCCTCTAGCAGCCCTTAGTTCTCTGTATTTAAGAGTCTCTTACGGTTTTCCTCCCTCTTTATTTTTATCTTATTTTTCCTTTCCTGGATATCCTAATGTTAGAAGTTAAGCATAAGTTCAATTTGATCTTAGCTATCAAGGAAGTGCTAAGGAGCATATAAGGAGTATTAATGCCATTTTTTTCTGTTTGTTTATGTATTTGTGAAGTGATTGTCCTCAAAGGATTTTATGATATTTAAGTGTCTAGTAATTTGTTGTAAGTAAATTTTTGATTACTTAAGTTTTTGTTACTTAGGCATTCTTAAAATACTCTGTAGTCATTGTTTTTTCAGACACTTTTGCCTTAAATTTGCTTGTAGTCGATGCTTTTGATGACTTTGGTTCCCTAAAGTTAATAAAACTGAAAATGTATAACTTTGAGATAAAATATGTATTATTTTTGGTAGTAACTTAATTTTATTATAATTATGAGTTAACTCAGGAACACATAGTATAAGTTATGTGACTTGCTGTGTTGTTACAGGATTATAAGCAAACCATTATGCATTCTTAAAAGATTCTGTGGTTAAACAGTAAACTTCTGTATCTGTACTCTTGTTCTATTTTATTTTTTATATTGTGATATGCTGTTTTTAAGTAGTTTTAGGAATTACAAACAAAAGATTCTTTTGAATGAGCCCTTGCTTAATACATGGAAGGGGACAGAGAGACTCCTTTCAAGGTTACTTAGGACCAAACAGCAATAAGACAGCAGTGTTTTTAATTGGTCATTGAATGTTGATGAGAATTCAGTTATCATTATAAGCCTTTTGTTAATTATTATTTGGTAGTCTCTTAATTAAAATAACAGAATTCTTCCTACATAATAGTAAGTATAAAATGCTTAATCTCAAGGACGTTTGAAATTGAGATGTCATGGAGTGCCTGGGTGACTCATTTGGTTAAGTGTCCAACTTTGGCTCAGGTCGTGATCTCACAGTGCGTGGGTTTGAGTCCTACATCGGGCTCTGTGCTGACAACTCAGAGCCTGGAGCCTGCTTCTGTTTCTGTGTCTCCTCCTCTCTCTGCCTCTCCCTCACTCGCACTGTATCTCACTCTGTCTCTCAAAAATAAATAAATGTAAAAAAATAAATAAATAAATAAACATCAAAAATTATTTAAAAAAAAATTGAGATGTCACAATACATATATACGTACACACATACATACATATATATATATATATATATATTTTTTTTTTTTTTTAAGTTTATTTGAGAGCAAGAGAAAGCCTGAGTCAGGGAGGAGCAGAGAGAGGGAAAGAGAAATCTTAAGCAGGTTTGCACTGTCAGTGCATAGCCCAATGCAAGGCTTGAACCAGTGAGATCATGCACTGAGTCAAAGTCCGGATGCTTAACTGGCTGAGCCACCCAAGCGCCCCACATATTTTTCTTATTGTGGCAAAAAGAGATAAATATATCCTCTTAACAGTTTTTAAGTATGTAGTACAGTATGGTTAACTACATGTGCATTGTTGTACAGTAGACCTCCAGAACTTTTTCATCATGCATGACTGAAACCCTGTACTCACTGAATAACTCCCTGTTTCCCCATGTGCCCCGCCACCAATTGCCCCTGGCAACTACCATTCTATTTGTTTCAGTGAGTTTGATTGTTTTAGATACCACGTATTTTTGGATTCATGCAGTGTTTGTCTTTTATGATTGGCTAATTTCAGTTAACATACTGTCCTCAAGGTTCATCCTTGTTGTGGCATATGACAGAATCTCTTTTTAAAGGGCTTTATAACATTCTGTTGTGTGGCGGGGGAGAGGGTGATGCGTGCGTGCATGTGTATTCTACATTATCTTTATTAATTCATCCATCAGTGGACATTTACATTACTTCTACACTTTGACTATTATGAATAATGCTACAGTGAATATGGATGTGTCACCATACTTATTTTTAAAGGCTTTATTGGTTTTTCTATTGCAGATATATTCGACTTTATGGAAGAAAATTTAGCAAAGAAGATCATGTTCTTTTTATCAAGTTATTGTATGAGCTGGTATCAATTCCAAAACTGGAAATCAGCATGATGCAGGGATTTGCCCGTCTCTTGATCAATTTGTTAAAGTAAGTAAATTTCCTATGATTTCTGCTAACCTTTTTTGGTTTGTTTCTTCAAGATCTTAGGGAATGAGAGCTAAGTATTCTTTGATAAGAAGACCCAAGTCCCAAGTTGCTATTTAACAAAAAGATTGCAGAAAATTTTATCATAAGTTTAAGCTATATATGTTCTAAGATCCTTGAGAAAACATGGATCATTTGTTCTTTACTTATTCCTAGAAACCCAGAACAATGCTGGAAACATTAAGTACTCCATCGATAACATGGGAAAGTAAGAAATTCATTGGCAGTAATGGTGGCACAAGTGTAAATGCCCCTTTTTACCTGGTGCTCTTTGAGATGTGAGCAGCAGTAAGAATCTGGTGCATTGTTCTTACTACTGCATTCTACTGATGAATTGCCACGGATGGGAAAATGCAGGGCCCAGCAGGATGATAGCAACATCGAACAACTGTCATCCTTGTGTGGTAGGGGTAATATACAAACAACTGCATGTGAATAGATGCATATTTGTTTACTCTTTTTTTTAATTAGGAAAAAGGAACTTCTTTCAAGAGATGATTTGGAGTTACCTTGGAGACCACTTTATGACATGGTGGAAAGAATATTATATTCCAAGACAGAGCACCTGGGATTAAATTGGTTTCCTAAGTAAGTCTTTTCTTTCCGAGTACTTCTTTGGGAGCACTTGGGGCCTTTTAGAATTTGGTCATAGTTGATAAATAATTGGGTTATATGAGATAAGCAAACAAATACACATTTCAATGTGCTCGTTACTATGTAATGTAACTCCTAAAACAATTTATTGACTTCTTTAAACTATATCTGAAGTTTCACTTAAGAATTTCCCACCAGGATATCTGATCATTAATATTACCATGCTGGCCAAAAGCAGCAGATTTTTGTTTGAAATCTTGGATTTTGTCTTTGAAAGTAATGCACATTTGGCATTCTTTATTATATATCCACATGTGTTTTAATACTGCAAGTAAAATGAATGCCTCAAGAAGGGGAGGTTGGCATATTCCAGAGGGCACCCACATCTCAGTTAAAGAAGTGTTAGTTTCAGTGACTGTTCATGGAATGTAAGTTATTCAATGCACGACTCCTTGATTTAGACGTACTAGGATTATGAACCTCTGGCTAATTCTGCCTTCTTGTACACACATCCTAGCTCTTCCAGATCTCTGATTTTGGTATGTTCTGTATGTTATTCTGAATTTATGGAGTATAATACGATGATCTGTCCTTTTTGGTTACTTAATAGTGATTTTATTTGTTCTTTACTTACCTCTTACCAATCTTAGCATGTTTGGCTTAAAGTACTCTTAAACTCTTTGTGATTGAGGTTTGTTTTTAGGAAAATTTCTACAGTTTTCTTCAATTTAATTTTCCTCTATGTTTATCATACACATATGTACTCATTTCCTGAAGAATACCATTTTGTACACTTGTATTATTTTCCTCCTTTTTATAAATTAAGTCTTTAAAATTTTATTTCTATGGTTTGTCTCTCAACTCTAGGCATGTTTTCATTATTTCACGACTTCTTGTAGTCTCCCCCTTTCACTTCATTTAATCCATGGTCATTTTTCAGGCTTCACTGAGGTCAGCAGTCTTTGTTACATAGAATTTTCTGAAAAATGAGCACAGAAGGTAGACTTTAAAAGATTTTCAGGTCATAATTTAGTAGTGAAATGATGTAAATGAAAAGAAGTTTTAAAGAAAAATGATTATCGGTGATCTTGAACTTAGGCCCTAATTGATTTTTGGACAGAGGTCACAAATAGAAATAACAAATCATTTCTTTTCTAAAGATTTCATGGGTTAAAACAAGGAAACCCATTTCAACCATAACACACACATACACACACACACACAATTCATCATGAAACTAAATGGTACATCATTCGTATATATTTTTATTATGAGAACCAGAAATTAAGCATGAAAGCTTTGTTGTAAAGGTTCCTTTTGAGTGTTTCTGCTGGAGGAAATATGGCATGGACTGTATTGACTAGGTCTTCTTAAAACAGGAGGCTGTTTAGGCTTTTACTAGAATCTGCGATTTCAGGGACCTTTAAACGTTCAAAATCAGTTATCTTTTTGAAATTTTTCTGGCTGAATTTTTGACTGCCTTAGAAAATGTTTGGTAAATGGTATGGGAGAAAAGGATATTTCTTCAGTAATTTCTTCTTCTGGCTCCTGCGTGACTCAGTCAGTTAAGCATCCAACTTTAGCTCGGGTCATAATCTTACAGTTCGTGGGTTCAAGCCCTGCATCGGGCTCTGTGCTGACAGCTTAGATCCTGGAGCCTGTTTCAGATCCTGTGTCTCCCTCTTTCTCTCTCTCTCTGCCCCTCCCCTGCTGTGCTCTCTTCCTCACAAAAATAAATAAATAAGCATTAAAAAAAATAATTTCTTCTTCAGTAAGTCCTTTACTTGTTTTTTCATAACCAAGCATCTTACTTCCTGCCCTGAGGGGTATCTTTTCATAGGCAGCTGCTTCCTTTTACGTCTTGCGTGGTCACTAATACCTACCTATGGCTTGCTTTCCTGGAAGTTTTGTCAGAACTTAGCACGGTTAGTGTCAGTTGGTGCTTATAGTTCCTCCCCTGCATCTTGATACTCTGCTTATTATTACCATGTCTTTTCCTGAATCTTCCCATCTCTGCTCTCCTGGAAACCTTCTTCTTAAAAGTTTCACCATGAGGGGTGCCTGGGTGGCTCAGTCTGTTAAGCATCCGACTCCTCGTTTCAGCTGAGGTCATGATCTCACAGTTTGTGAGTTCAAGCCCTGCCTCAGGCTGTGTGCTGATAATGTGGAGCCTGCTTGGAATTCTCTCTGTCTCTGTCTCTCTTTCTCCTTATCTGTATTCAGTGACAGAAACAAATATAAGTAATGTGTGAACCATGAAATGATTCCCATAATGGGAAGGTAGTTTATTATAAAACAGTATGTGTTTTAAGCATGCATGCATCATTACTCTAAAAGACACAATTTAGTATTGAGATTTTATATCTACTTATGATGAATAAGTTTGAATTTAAAAGCAAAAATATCAAAGCATTTTGTATAAGAAGTATAAGAGAATAAAAGAGCAGCATTATGAATGGACATTAGAGTAAAAACTAGTGCTAGGATAAAGAAAATAACAAATAATACTTAAGTATGACAAAAGAGAGAGAAATAGCTTTAATTTCAGAGTACTGAGCTGGAGAAAAAGTATGATCTTGCAGATAGGCTGGCCTTATTTATTATATAGTGTCACAGTAATTCTTTATGTAACAATATGGAATGGTATAGTTACTTGGTATCACAAAACATTATTTTTGAACATTATTACATGTGAAAGAAATAGAGGCAAAGGATGAATTGGGAAAAGAAACATTGATATGAAGCTATAGAGAATTTGTGCAGCGAACTTTCAGGTACAGTATCAGTAAGATTGAAAACTAACAAGCAGTGCTAAAGTAAATAAGTGAATAATGTCAGTATGTAATATTTGCAACATAAATTGCCTTTTGTGCCATACCAAAAAGGATGACAATAACATTAAGCATTTAAAATGTTTTTAGCGTTTATTTCTTTTTGAGAGAGAGATAACATGAAGCATTTTAACAGCCAAATTACTAATGAAATTCTGTGACATGTTTTATGTCTGCTAATTGCCAATGTAATGACAGTAGGTTCTAGACTATTAGCCTTAAATCTGAGTTGCACATTTCACTCTTGGTACATGTAGCATTGGCAGATCAAGCGTTGCAATTGCAATTGCTATGATAGTGTGATTTTGCGCGGGGGTGGGGGGGGGAGTAATGATTATCCTTAGGCAAAGTTTTTAAGAAATCAAAATACTTGCTTCAATTTATATGTTTGTTATATTCCTAGAAGATTCAATGTCCGTTAAAACTTTGCAAAAAATACTTAATGGTTAAAACAGTTTACTTTTAGGATCAGAAAGTTTTTATCTGGGGTTACCTGGGTGGCTCAGTTGGTTAAGCATCCAACTCTTGATCTTTGTTCAGGTCATGATCTTATGGTTTGTGAGATGGAGTCTCATGTCAGGTTCTGCACTGACAGCGCTTAGCCTGCTTGGGAGTCTCTCTGCTCTCTCTCGCTCGCTCGCTCTCTCTCCCCTGCTCTCTCTGGCTTGAGCTCTCAAAATAAATAAACTTAAGAAAGAAAGACCCAGGTCTTTTAGTTTCCAACCAGTACTTTTTTTTTTTTCCCCTGTACTAGTACTCCTCAAACTGTCCACTTAATACCTTCTTCTCTTAAGAGAAGCAGTCTTAAAGCAGTCTGGTGTGAGAAATTTCTTGGAAATTCACATGTTATTTTAAACATTGATAGGAGTATTAGGCTTATTAAATATTGTTTTCAAGAGCATTTGGCTGGCTTAGTTAGTAGAGCATGCGACTCTTGGGTCTCAGGGTTATGAATTTGAACCTCATGTTTGGTGTAGAGATTCCTTAAAAATAGAATCATTAAAAAATAAATAGTATTTTTATAAGTAAAAATTCCTTCCCTCTATATCTTGATTAAAATTGATGCTCCAGGAAGGTGAACCATGTTGGTTCATTGGTTTGGAGTGCTCAGACCCAGGGCTGCGTGTGCCACTGAATGGAGTACACATTGTGAAGTGCAGCTCTGTGATGCAGACACTTTAAAAAAAAATTTTTTTTTACATTTATTTATTTTTGAGAGACCGAGCACAAGTGGGGGAGGGACAGAGAGAGAGGGAGACACAGAATCCAAACAGGCTCCAGGTTCTGAGCTGTCAGCACAGAGCGCAACGCAGGCCCCGAACTCACATTGTGAGATCATGACCTGAGCCGAAGTTGGACACCCAACTGACTGAGCCATCCAGTTACCCCTGCAGACACTTTTTAAAAATGGTAACGCATTGTTCCAATTTAAAGGGATCACAGAATACTAAAGATCTAGAGCCACTTTTGAGGGGGCTTTTGCTTGATGAGAGGCAACTCTATAGGACAAAATTAGAAACTTATGGGGGGCGCCTGGGTGGCTCAGTCGGTTAAGCGTCCGACTTTGGCTTAGGTCATGATCTCGCGGTTCGTGGGTTCGAGCCCCGCGTCGGGCTTTGTGCTGACTGCCAGCTCAGAGCCTGGAGCCTGCTTTGGATTCTATGTTTCCCTCTCTCTCTGACCCTCCCCTGCTCATGCTGTCTCTCTCTCAGAAATAAATTAAAAGCATTCAAAAAAATTTTTTTTAAAAATTAGAAACTTAATGTCTCTGTTAAAAAAAAAAAAGTAGAAGGAATTATACTTAACAGTTTCAGGACTGTAATTCTTTATTCTCTTTCTCCAATTTTCTGTAATCTTTTTACTGTTACCATGAGATATTTACCACCTTTTGTAAGGAATACCTCTTCCCTTATTTCCATTTGGGTCATACTCTATAGTTATAAAAACTCACCTTTGAAGGATATCAGCCTCTTTGATTCTTGGACTTTGTTCATCACACTTGCCTTGATCTGAAAATCAGAGAAATCTAGTAGTGTTAGTTCTTGTGCAGAAATATCAAGAGAAACCGGGGTGCCTGGGTGGCTTAGTCGGTTAAGCGTCTGACTTTCGCTTAGGTCATGATCTCGCGGTTTGTGGGTTCGAGCCCCTCATCGGGCTCTGTGC